GCAGAGAGGTTCAGCATTGTCTTTGAGGAAGCGGGGGGGAGCGGATTGTTTGTTTGCAGGTGTTTGCTACAGAGATTAAAGAAATGTATGACAAATTGCACAAGGAGCAGCAACGCGGTTGATTTGCACTGTCCCTCTGTGGGGTGTGTAGATAGACTGAGACCTGGGGCGCACGAGAGGTGGAAAGACAGGGGAAGCCGGTGCAAGGCAGCTCCGCTCGTCCTATTATTCATTTGTGCATATTTGTCTCGATTTGTCTTGTCTGTTGGTCTCCTCACCTGAATAGATTGTTGCAGTGACGTTAACCATATACGTATTTACTTTTATCTACGTATATGCATACATCCATATATATATATATATACAAGTTCACAATATCTGCACATAAGCGCATGCTTATTCATTTTTTTCACACGGCTGCATATGTACTAGCATGTGTATACGTGCATGAACAAATGCTTGTCCATTGGATGTACGTGTATATGTATGCCTCTAACTTCTCCATGGGCTTGGAGCTCTCTTCAGTCGCTGCTGCTGTGCATATCTTCCCGGAAAGCGCCTTCACCTGCGTGCAGCAGGTGCAGCATGTGGCAGCATCATTCTGCTGCGGCAGAAGCCTGCAGAAGCCTCAGCAGGCAGCAACAGCAGCATGCTGCAGCAGTTCCATGCAGCATCGGAACACTGAAGCAGCAGCATCAGCAGCAGCAGCATGCAGCAGCTACGGTGGGCTGTCTCCTCGGGAGCAACAGAGCTGTATGGAGGAGCTATTGAGAAGGCCGGAAGTGGGTGATGTTCATTTCTGGTGTACAATTCATTACGCGAGATATCTTCTCTTGTCTAATGTGAACAGACAGACGGACAAACCGAAAGAAAACGTCTAGGCAGCAGCGGATCCCCTTCGTCTTCTCTTTTGTTCGTGTCGCCGGTGCTGCAATTTGTAAAGTGTGCTGCACCTGTCCGTATACTCCGGCGCAGCTCGGTGTAAAGGCGCATACGGATGGCGGGTCAACTAATAAGCAAACAACGCAACTGCCTCTCTCCTTTCTGTCTTCTATTTAAGGCTCCATTTGGACCGGTCCCCTTAGGGCCTCCTATGCCCCAGAGGCGCCAAAACGGGAGGCACTGCAGAGGAGGTTAAGCGGGGACGCATCGCCACGGGGAACTTTTAGTTAGTTGCTAAGGGGGCGCGTAGTACTATGCGCATCTGTGTGCATCAAAGCGTTTAGTTTGTAAATATTTACCAGATCCAAGTTTGCAACGCCAATAAGCGTTTGACGCAAGCTGAGCATAGAAGCATGTTATGTTTAATATGCCAATTGCCGAAAATGAACCATTTCTGTCTGTTTCAAAGGCATAACGGGCACTTGTGTTGAAACAAAACATAGCGCCGCTTGTAATAATATTTCTTTCAAGAGCGGACCATTTGCGGAACGCAAGCGTTCATTACTGGAGGGTGTACTATCTGCATGGTTTGCTTGTTCCTTGCAGTCGACTCTGGCTGAGCATCGATGCAGGCTGAGTGTCGAACGTGCTGCACTGCACGTCTTCAGACAAACTTAACTTGCCCACAGTAGCTGCACGTTCAGAACGCAGACCGTTAGTGCGCATATCTGCATTACTGCATTAATGCTTTGTGCACATCTACTGACCCTACGCGAGCGTCGTATGCACTGAATCTGCACGGTTTGTATGCCGTTGAACGTTAGATGGCGGCTGCAATGCTTAATGCACACTTGCTCACCATGCTCATGGGGACAGGTATTGTATGCGGTAGCAACTTGGGGGCACCATATGTTGGGGAGTCTTCGATGCAGGTGGAAAGAGAAGTGCAAGAGCGAGAGAAACAAGATGGGAAGAGAGGGAGACGTCCGCCACTGCTCCATACAGGACTGCCATTTTTCACCTCCCGCGCGCTCTAAGTGTAGCTTTCGTAGGTCCCTTCCTGTCCCTCTTTGTCTATACTAGGCGGCGATTTGTCACTCGCCCTAAGCACCTCGAAACCGATACGGCGTGCCGGTCGATGTTGTTTTCTCATGTTGGGTTCTGTCACTAAAACTGGAATCTAAATTGCCAAGGAGCTTTTAGCAGTGTGCCATATCCCATCCAACTTCACATTTCGATCGATCTCAAGCATAACACCCCAGAAATACGCTACACCCATCGTCGCCAATCTGCTGGGCGCCCCAACTAGCACCAGGCTGCCGCGCTAAGCCTGCAGAGCACGAACCAGAACTCCTAGAGTCACATGGAGCATCGACCTTTGAGAGAGAATACTTGCTTTATAACGGAGGCGAACTCGCTAAGGGTAGTTTATAACGGAGGAGAAGTCGTTAAGGGTAGTTTGCAGTCATTGCTTTACGGGCTGGGCAGGATAATTCGAGGACCGAGCAGGAGGGGTGATACCACCTGCAGGGCAATTGGGCAATTGGTGAAATGCCGACCAGGGCATTTCATCAATTGATGAGACTAACCAGTTTCATCAAGTGATTTTCATCACTTGATAAAATAATGACTATCATCATCAGCTGCTTGATACTGACAAATAAGCTGGATTAATAGATCCACCTCGGAGCAAATGGACAAATGTTGGCTTCGAGCACCCAGTGTGAACATTCCCCTCTAAACTAACGTAGGCCCATCATTTGCGAGGCTGTGAGTAGCCATGAAGGGACAACGCTGATGCACATCACGGAAAAAATAGTAGCTCAGCGCCAAGCAACCTGCTTCCAGCTGGGCTGCTTCGTGTTGGTATACAGCTATAGGGGAAACAGTTGGTGCAGACGAATGGGGTTGAGATGGCGCTCGTCATTTTTACATTAACTTAAGTGCCTCGTGAATTTGGAACAATGCACTTGTGCTGCTACGCTGCAGTCCTTCTGAAAGTTAAGGCCGTCTCCTAGAATGCCCATGTAGGGACAATGCTAATGCCCAATGCTTCTTTAAGACTCTCCAGCTGTATAACACTAGAGAAAACGAGTGGGAACTCTACTACTGCTTCAGTAGGGCATTCCGAGTTCGTAAGAGTGGCTAGCAGAGTGTCTAGCGGCGACCTAGAGCCAGAACAATTCGTTCTGTCCAGGAAGCTGTCTGGCATGTGTGTACTTAGTTGCAAAAGCAGCGTGTCTATAGGAGGGGAAAGTGCAGTCATCTTCCGGTACAGCCTCGAATATCCTTCGAATTTACACAAGAGGCCTCTACAATTGGCTGAAGGGCCATAAAACGTTGAATATAGCGCAGGGACTGCGTCCCCGAACGAAATAGGATGTGACAAGAGAGGACTGTTTTTGAAAGGTGGTGCCACTCTTCTTTGAGTGCCCTCACAGTACCCACGAGGCGTATCCACCCTGCACCGGAGGGAACAGCAGGGTTTCAACCCCCTACCTAAAGGGTTTGTTGCCGAACCCAGACACAAAAAATATAATTTATTAGCTCCTTCAGTGCCGCGCTCAGCTTAGACCAGCAAGCAGGCAATGAAGAGAAGTCGTCGTGCCTGGGAGTAGTAGGGAAACGGAAGCTGTGCCACACGGCATTCTCACGGCGCCTCATTGGCATGTATCTTCGCCATGACTAGCGACGGCTTATTCCGGGCACTGTGTGTATCTAGAGCCAGAGAAGGGCACGTCGTGATAGCATAGGTGGCTCGGCCTCTTCACGGCAGCAAGTGCCAAGTATGCATGGGCGGACCCTAGCGGGTCTCGTTTCTGTGCCTGCCGGTGTGTAAGGATGTGTGGTTGCCGGCTTCTCCAGTGCGGGAGTTGTACCGGCGGGTCATTAAATGCATTATCAAACATCAAATAACCTAGCCCTGCTTCCGTCGTGCACAAGCCGGAGCAGGGTAGGTGGGGGGGGTGGGGGGGGAAATGAGAAGGACCGACTGATCTCGCCGACCGGCCGTCACCTCGGATAGCGAGACAGAGAGGAACACGAAAGTAGATGCAGGTCCTCTCCCTACGGAAACAGAACAAAAGCTCCGCCCATAACACGCCTAGAAATCGTAGGGGTCGTCCGGAGATGTTGCCGCTTTGCCCCAGGTCCTGAAAAACGATATGACAAACATACCGGCCAGCAACACATACCTCCTTCAGCAGTCAAACCATGCGGTACAGTCTATGTGATATAAGGAAGTGCTAAAAATTGATTCGTCCTTTAGCGAAAGGAATGGATTTTTCAGTTGTGAGGGCCAAAAGTAGGTACGGCACAATGAACATCCGAACAAGAGAGCTAGACCGACCCCTGGAGGCGTTCATCGTAGGTAAATCCCTTGAAGAGGGCCTCCCCTTCCTCGTCTTCGGTGGGCTGAAAATTATCAGAAGAGGGAGAGTCGCATGCATGTGAGTGTTCCTCTCTGCATGCGCTATCTGGGTGCTGTGCTGTCCCCCTATGAGCTGTCGTTGTACAATTGCCACCCGCTGTAAGATCTGCCGCTGCAGTAGATGTTGCCACTCTACTGCTACTGCTGCGGCTGCTGTTCCCTGCAGAGCGCGGAAGAGGCGTGCGAGACCGTTGCATTCTCATGCTATTGGCACTAGAGGTGGCGGTGCCGAATGCTGCGTCAGGCCCTTCACCGTCATCCGACAAAACGGGTTCTCGTTTAACATCCGCTGGAAAGTACTTGGAGTCCTCATGCGAGTGGAGGCGGGGTTTGAACGGTGGCTCTATCTTCTTCGCAAGGAGCAAGTCCCAATCTACAGATTCAAAAAACGGATGCCTCTGGATGCAAACAAAAAAACACAATATGCACTACAACAAATCCAATGCTCGCACCAGAGATGAATCTAGTATAACTACACAGTCGTCGGTAGCTTCCCAACGTACGTTGATTTATACAATGCATGCCTACCCACTATGCGACATAAAGTGCATTACATAAATCCCTATCTTCCACTTGGTTTGCCCTGCGCATCTGTTAGTCTTTCATACCCGAGTTTCCACTACCCGAAACAAGCATGAAGGCCTACCTTTATCTCCTCTGCATCTAAGGGTCCAGCGCCCAGTCGCTCATTGGCGTCGCGGTGCAATAGATTCTTAAGGAGGTCAACCGCTGCGGGGGACAGATCCGCTGGGAATTCCAGTCCCCCCCTGCACGCAAGCAACAGCAGCACCACCATCACATACGCAAAACTTCGCTGCATCACCAGCAGCAAAACGAAACGACCGAGGCAATACACATTCACACACGGACACTACGAATGTACAGTGCGTTTTCGATGTCAGTCATGCCTTCGTACAAATAAACTTCACTCTTGTGTTATTCCAGCCAACCAAGAAGGAAGAGCAGCACGTTCCCACTGCATCTCAGCAAATGAGCAATAACAGAAATAACACCTAACTCCTCCCTGGGCGTGGAGCAGCGGAAATCCCATATACGGCACGCATGGCGACTGTCTTCATCAGCCGTCTTACACGCATGCAACCGCATGCTTGTGCACGCATTCACACACGAGCATGTAGTACGCATGTACTTGTTACTGGATGCATAGACAATGGAGCACATCCAGTTCGCTAATGTCTGAATATGATTCTCCAACCCCCGAACAACTCACCAGAGAATGTTTGTGAAGAGGGCCTGGCGGTTGGCCGTGTAGAAAGGAGGCAGGCCTGTCAGCATTTCATAGAGCAGGGCCCCAAGACTCCACCAGTCCGCTGCTTTTCCGTGCCCGACCTGACACAGGATCTCAGGGGCTATGTACTCAGGGGTCCCGCACACGGACTGCAGAAGAAGCAGCAGCAGCAGAAGGAACGCACCCATTCAGCAACATAGGTCAAGCGAGTGAGCTGCCAGCAACAACTCCGCAGCTGACACAAAGCCACCACTAGAAGGCAAACCCCTCGATGCCCTTTTCACAAACCCCAAGCAGCGAACGCAGAAAAAGAGCCATGAAGAGCAGCATAAGCAACAGCGGCTACAGCAGCGGCAGCAGCAGCAAGGTAGGCAGAAGCAGCAGCAGACAACGGCCTGTGTACTCTGGCACTATTGTTGTCGGCGATGCCGCTCTTTGAAAGGCCAAAATCTGTCAGCCGTATATGCCCATCCACATCCAGCAAAACATTTTCTGATTTGAGGCTGAATCAAAGCAAAGCGCACAAAATGCGGCAGAAGAACGCCTCGAGCAGACCCAACACTGGTCCCTGTATAATAAAACCAACTGTGTCAGCACTGCGTCCAGTGTTAATTGCTATTAAAATCTAGTAGCTAGGGAGGCTCATAGAAATGCGCAGCAAGGGGACATGCTGTCGCCTGTTGTGAGTATGCGTAAGTGCTGATGCAGGAAGCAGATGTGTGGAGATGGGGATCGGGGTCGTCGGGAAGAGCCTGTTGACGTTATTGCTGTACTCTCGGTAGATCACGTTGTGCTTGTGAAGATGCTCCAAGGCGAGCAACAGCTCAGCAGCGTAGAAGCGTGAGCGGTCCTCAGTGAACTTTCCTTCTTTCTGCAAGTGGAAAAACAACTCCCCCCCGGGACAATACCTGCGACACAAAGTTCAAGGCCGCCCTACATCTTTTCCTAAACCGCACGTATGTGCACTAAAATGCTCATACGCGCCATTTCATCCCCACCGCACACTCCCCACGGTACACACGAACTACAGGTGCAGATGCAGCAGACCGGCACCGCAAGGCAAGGTGCAGTTGCAGCGAAGGCTCTGCGCTCGACTCCAGCATCACCGCACGAGCAGACACTGAGCAAGGCCAGCCAGCGATGGAGCCACGCGAATTCAAGGCACAGGGGTGAAGGCAGAAGCAGCGAGCATCACCCCTAATCCTGCAACTAGGGAAAGCACTGAGATTAAAGACGAGAGAGGAAGTGATCCGTTCAAACAGTCCAGAAAAGAGAGACGGACTCTAGAACAAAGTACAGCTTCTTGGGTGTCTGAAATGCGAAGTGCATCTGCACGATAAAAGGATGAGAGATCGCCTCCAGAACTGCCCGTTCCGTGCGCGTGTGCTGCACCTGTTAAAAGCAACAGCAGCGGCACACAGCGCAGCATGAAGACAGGCAGGAATGCACTAACATGCAACGCCATAACAGCGCCCCACAGCAGCTGCAAAAGAGGCTACTACCAAAGCAAAGATTCCCGAAGCTGCGCTAAGCCGAAAGAATCCAGCCCAAGGGAAACAATGAGAAAATTCTAAGTTACGGCAGCAATCGTTTGCTGGGACCTCCCTTCTGTACCATGCAGGCTCCCTATCCCCTGCCGAGGAGCCCCGAGGGCCCAGCAGCCTCACCTGGCTGCGACGAAGCAAGGATTCCTTAAGAAGAACCTTTAGCGCGTACAACTGGCCGTCTTGTTCGAACCGGACCAGCATCACTTTCCCTGAACGGCGCAGGAGGGAGCCGGATTGGATGGGTAAGCAAAAGGTAAAAACACCAGCAAATGCACATGGGAATAGCAGCCCAGGTAAACAGATGCACATACTACGCGTCTCGAAGAAGGTAAACGGAGGACGGATGAACTATCAACACAGAAATCTAAGTGCGCAGGTTCAAGGGCAAGCAAAATGGTAATCCAGAAAAGCCACTGGCGAATGCGTAAGGGCACAAATCAACGAACCCTTGAAAAACAGTTCTCATCATGCACTCAGTACAACACAGAAGCAATAAGTCCCAGCGTCTCCTCCGTGGACGCCGACAGGCGATGCGGGACAAAAAAGAGAAGCGGATTAGTACTTGAGCTCTACACAGAACGCCGGATGCACGGACACATGCAGGTATGCAATGGGTGCTGCACGCGTGCGTGCATGCAGCACCTAGTGTACAAGTTTGTATGTACCATATGAGCCCTTCCCAATGACATGCAGCAGCACGAAGTCGCCAGGGCCAACTTTCTTTGCCTCTACAAGCGGTGCTAGATAGGCCATATTCTTGGTATACGCATAACCCTCCTCGGGGAGCATCCGACTGTTTGAAATGCTCCCGTGGCTGTTCCTGCGAGTGCGGCTCCTGCTGCTGTTGCGGCTGCTGCTGCCGCGGCTGCTGTGGAGTACGTTTGAGCTACTGTTGCAGCTGTTTCTCTTTCCCCCGTCTTGGGCAGCTGCTGCACCCGAATCTGTCGACTCCGGGGCCGCTGCGTTGTTGCTGGAGAGCGCCTGACGACGCCCGGCACCGCCACTACCCCCAGCAGAGGCAGCAGGTGCAGGAGGCGGAGTGCTTTTCGTTGCCCGCCTCCTGCAGCCCCGCGGAGGCCCTTCCCCCAGGTGATGCGAGCTGGCAATGAGGTGCCGCTCCTCCTGCACCGACCGGGGCCGGAAGGGGAGCTCTTTTACATTCCGGTTGTTAGAGCTACATGCGTAATTCCGTGCTTGCGCATCCCACTGCCCCTGTTGCTGCCGCTGTGACTGCTGCTGCTGCGGGGGCTGCTGCTGCGGCTGCAGGGATGAACTAGACGGCGCATTGCGCGTGGCAGCACCCTGGCTGTACGCAGGAGCAGCAGCCACGATACGACCGGGTGTACGGGTCATTCTGCTGTCTGTGGGCTCCCCGACGGGAGCTCCTGCTGCATGTGCATGCAGCGGCCGCGGGTAAGCTGTTGCTGCAGCAGCTGCTGCTGCCGCCGCCGTCCCTGCAGAGGACCCCGATGCAATGTGAAGCATGCAGTCCGTTGTTGCCGCTGTCGCTGGGAAGGCCGCCTGCTGCCACTGGCGCTGTAGGCCTCTGCGGGGACCAGCTACGCTGCTGTGTGGAGCCGAAGCAGGCTGGTGGTGCTGCGGCTGCTGCTGGTGCTGCTGTAGGCCGCGCCGTGGCGCCCGTTGGTGATTCCTCGTCGTTCCACTTGGCCTCTGAAGCCCCCAATCGTGTCGTTGCTGCTGGACCAGGCCTAAATACTGTTGCTGCAGCTGCGGTTGCTGCTGCAGCTGCTGCAGAGGCACGTAAGGGTATGTAGGCACATCAACTGGAGCAGCAATTGCGTACGACATTTGTTGCCACTGCTGCTGCCACTGCTGCCACTGCTGCCACTGCTGCTGCTGAAGTTGTTGGTGCTGCAGCTGCTGTTGCCACTGCTGCTGCTGCAGCTGCCACGACTGCCAGTATGGTTGAGACAAATGCTGCCACGATTGGTGCTGCTGGAGCGGTGCCTCGCGCAAGACAGCATAGGGAGTGGGGCAACCAACAGAAGCACCGAGGGTAACGATGCCGTTCAAAGCCGGGGCAGGAGCTGTTGCTACTGCGGCTGCTGCCGCCGCAGCTGCAGCTCCTGCAGCAGCAGAAGCAGCACTAGCTGCCGAACTGCATTCTTGCTTTTCCGTGACACCCACTGCCCCGTATCTTGCTGCTTCCATGGACCTTCGACCGTCGTTGGCAGGCGCCTGCGCTACTGCTGCTGCTGCGGCTGCAGCAGCTGCCGCAGTTTCCGTTGCCGCTCTTGCTTCAGTTGCGGCTGCTGCTGGTGCAGCGGGGAAGTCGACAGGGTCTGCTTCGAGACCAAGGATCTGCGTGCTGCAGGCGTCGCCTGGCTGCAGAGTACTGGTGCTGCCGCTGCCGCTGCTCCCATCCGCGTGGGGGGCCCCAGCAAACGGGGACCTCGTGGGGACGCCCATCATTGAGACGAACGGGAAGTCAGATGAAGACTGCAAATGGTGAGAGGCAAGAGGAGCCAGGGGGGTAGGGTGCTGCTGCATCTGCTGTTGTACGCGCTGCTGCTGAAATTGCTGCTGCTGCTGCTGTACGTGCTGCTGCTGAGGCTGCTGTCCGCGCTGCTGCTGCGTATGGGGCCCCTGTGCGTAAAAACACTGCTGTACCGGCGAAAGCGAGGCGGTGGCCTGTGGGGCTGTTGGAGGAGCCTCGAATGGCAGGGGGGACCCCCACGGCTGCGGCCCACCGCCGTGCGGCCCTTGCGGCGTCAGCCCCAAGACGGGGAGGCAGAAATGGGGAGCTCCAAGAAAGCCACAGTGAGGGGGTCCCGGCCTTAGTCTTGGTTGATGGGGGCCCCCTCCCCTCACATCTAGAGGGTACCCGTGGTCCAGCCGCACGCGTAGCGCCTCAGAGGAGAGGTCCCCTACAGGCAGCAATGTCCGGTACTCCTCCCGGGAGTGCCGCTCCAGCCGGTCCCAGCAACGATGCTGGAACTGCTGCAGTGAATGCTGCAATGGATGCTGCAGAGAATGCTGCAGAGAATGCTGCAGAGAGCCGGGAACCCACTCTCGGACAGGCGATGCAGCACTCGCTGCTGCTGCAGCCGCTGCTGCTGCGCTAGCTTCTGCTGCTGCTGCCGCTGCTGCTGCTGCCTCGCGACGGGCAGCTCTTGAGACGCGGCCCACAGGCCTCTCACCAGAAGGAGCATCCGTCGCTTGTGGACCCCACGGCGGGAGAACGAGAACCTGCTGCTGCTGCTGCTGACGGGGACGCCGCTGAGGGTTCGTTCTATTTCGTGTTCGGTGCTGCTGCAGGAACTGCTGCACCTGCTGCTGTTGCTGCGGCTGGTCCTGTTGATCCTGTTGGTGCCGCTGTTGAGGGAAGATGCGATTTGCGCGCCTACTGGGGCGGGGCTGCTGTTGCTGCTTCTGTTGTTCATCCGGTGGATACGGGTGTTGCTGCAGTGGTGGTGGTGGTATTTGCTGCTGCTGCTGCTTCTGCGACGGTACTACCTGCTGCTGCTGTTGCAGCAGGTCCCGTGTGTCTGCCCCCATAGCAAGTTGGGGGCTGCAGTCACGCCTCACTCAAGGGCAGCCAGGATTCTGGTTTGTGGCCGTGGTTGCTGCTGCCGCTGCTGCTTGTTCTGGTTTTGATGCTGCATGGGCTGTCTGGAGTGTGGGACATGGGTAGAGGAAGTCTAGGCTGCGGGGGGCCTCTTTGCTGGTTCTCAGGCCTGTGAAGAGACCAAAGAGCAGCTGACCGCCAAGCGTGCGAATAAATAAGAGATGCATGAACTTGAAATGAAGGAAAATGACCTATCTGTGGACTAAGCTGGAGGACAACGCGCAAAAACTGGCACGCCTCTCCTGTCCCGTGACCCTTGAGCAGGATGAGGACTAGGCCAGACCCCTGCCCTCTGCGGGAGCACACAGGAGCCCTTCCAAGCGAAAAAAAAAACAGAGGAGAAATAATATAAAAAGAAACTCGCCTTAAAAAATCAAACTGGCAAAATGCAGTCGCTAACTGTGTACCCGCCCCTTCAGTTCAGCCGCATGCAGAGCCTTAACGAACTCCAAAGGCAGCTGCAGCTCCGCGTCAAAGGCTTTTATAGAAGCAAGGGCACATTCGCCGACCCAGAAGATGGACAAATGAAACACATAGAAATTGAAACTAGTCAAGACGTATGAGGAGGCAAAAACTTCGATGTGAACTCTTCAAAATCCCCTTAAAATCGAAGTCCACCTTTCAATCGGACACCAACCTACACACGCATACAATCCGCTCCTAGCACGTCCTTCTGCTCAATCCCAGCAAACATATCTTGCTGGGCTTGGAAAAACTCACTAGGACTTGTGAGGAATCGCTTGTTATCTTGTAGCATGTTCTGTCCGACGTTCGTACATTAACGCATACGTTAGTAAGCAGCCTACACGCAAGCAGAAGTACAACAATTGTCTACAGTGTTACTGTAGATAGCGAAAGGGGGGTTGGTTGTATTCGCGTGCAAAGGTGTCTTGCAGCATTAGTTGCAGAGCGGAACATTGCAACTAGTGCCAGGCCGCCGCATCTGCCCACCAGCAACGCTTGGGCCGGCAAGCCCAGAGTATCCGAGAATTCGAGGGGAGGCAAGCTGCACTTTAGGGACTCTTTCTGTTTCTCCCCTCGACTACAACGCATGACAGTCATCGGAAAATGCCGCTGACTCTCATTACACGCCCGTCTCAGAGTTTTTGGGTAACAGCGTACTACTTCTAGTGCTTGGTGACCAACAGGTAAGAACACCACTATGACTTTTTTGATTGCGCTGAAATCAAAGTAATTACTTTTCCGCAATCCTGAAGAAGCACAAGTAACTTTTGCTCGTAGGATCCTCTCCTGTGTACGTAATCCTTAGCCGTTAACTGTGAGAGAAGCCCACGGGCCAGACTTCGTGGTCGTGGGAAAGCACTAGTGCATGTTCTGCCTGACGATGGTATGCGTATTTCTCCTTGCGTGAGGCTAGCTACTGAGGGCCAAGTAAGTGTTCGGCAGGGTACGCGCATGCAGTAGTGGCTTGGTTATACTTGCATGCAGAGAAGAATTGCAACAAGAAGCGTTGCAATCCACTGCAGGCCACATACTCTCTTCACAAGCCCCAGACGCTTGCGTTGTCGTACCCAAGGTACCTGCAGACTTGAAGGGAGTTCGGAGGAAATTTTGAGTATTTGACGCTAGCACCTAGCTAAGAAAGAGGACCGCCGCTGCATTTGATAGAAGCGTATCGCATGATTAG